TCTGTGCACCATAACTACTACAGCACGTTGTAGTGCTTGTAGAGCTAAGACTGCCCTGGCGCCCCCCCAATTGTGGGTAACTAAACCATTTTAAACTGGAAGTTCTCTGTCTGAGCTGAACTTTACTGTGCCAGGCTAGGCTCATTAGCTGAGAGTGATTATTCAGCTGATGCTCTCAGCCAAGGAGTGAGGCCTGCATTGCAGAGCTTAGCTGAGGAGAGCTAATGAAAGATACTGCTGTAGTGGCTATGGTATTTGGAGTTTTCCTTTTTAGGTTGGGTACACAAAGTTATGGCTACAAAACACAACTCCCATAAACGCTTGCTAGGGAGTTGTTTATAGAAGAAGAGATCTTGAAATGTATTTTACTGGAAACAACTTTCTATGCAATCTTTAACTTATTTCTGCTACTCTGTGCATGGTACTATGACTTTGGATTCCAGAAAGCTTCAAACATGGACCCTACGCTTTTCTTTCTCTGCTATCTAATCACTTGTACAGGATTTAGTCAAAATGGGGTTTTCCTAAAACATCATTTAAAGTGATACATTGCTTAGCATTGGGCTAAATAGAGCATGTTTTGTAGTCCTCTAAAGAGGACATGCCATTCACAAAATAAACAGATAACATCCACTCCAGGTAACTTATAAAATGTAACCTATACATTTTGCTACCAAATTTGCCAGCTTCTATTTTAATTTAATTTGAAATAGCGCAGCAACTCGCTTCCCACAATTTACATGGCTCAATCCCAGAATGCAAGCAAGGGGGTACATGCTTCAACATACTTGTTGATATTGCTGTAGTTTGTACCCCAATGTTGACAATGTAGAGATATAAAGTACAATCTCCAACTTTAAAGAAAAAAAAGTTGTATTGCTAGCAAATATATGAATATAAAAATAAACAGGGTTATTCATTAATGTATGAATTCTCGGGAATTCAAAGTGAAGTTCAAATTTTAGTCAAGATAGTTGCAAGGAAATTGTCCAATTTGGCTAGTGAAATTAACTTTGAATTCACTATAGTGAATAACTCTGGATGAGCCGCTGTGCCGTATTGCATGATGGCTGCGGAATTAAGTTTCATATTCTACCTTGGCACTGCAGGTACTAAAACCCACCACACCGTTACTATTCTTTTGTTAATATTTGTGTTTGCTATTTATTGTTAATGTTTTTTAGTTCCTCCATTTTTTTATGTTACCGTTTGGTTAACAAAACTGAATCTCATCCCTTTCTAAGTGGCAATCCAGTGATGAATGTGTAAATACTGTAACATGTTCCTTTGTGCCCCCTTGAAAATCATAATCAGGGGCTTTGGAGGAAAATGTTACATTTTTGTATAGATAAGCTTTTTGCTTTGTATGTTTGATAATAATAATGTATCTGAAAAATTAAACAAAAACAAAAACAAAACACAAATGTGTTGTTTACTACTGTGTATTGTGACTTTTATTCAAAAACATAGCTTGTAAAAAAAATTTGTATTCATTGTAAATTGAGTCAGCAACAATATGGGTGTTGGGGCGACACACTCGAACAGATAAGATGAGCAATTCCATTTTTATAACCAATGGTTATAACCAAGGGTCATACATTGTGTGTATCTTAGAATCGAGGTTTGCATTAGGGAGACACCAGGAAACAAGTTATCAATTAGCAAACAAACAGTAACAATGTGCCAATTCAGGAAAGATAACATCATCAATCATTCAGTAAGCTTTAATCCGTAATGAAGATGTAAGTATAATGTCCCTTATCCAGGAGTCAAGATTCGTTTTTAATTCCTCCACCACTCACTACCGTTCAGATCAAACTGGGTGCTGCCTCCCAAGTATTCTCAAGGAGTACCAGCTGTTACATTGAAATGTTTTTTGAATGCGTATTCTACTGTCAGTGCCTAAAGTGTAAGTACTGGAAACATTTTGAAAAGCTTCAAGTTAGTCCAGTCTGTTCCAGCACAAGAGCAGATAAAATAGATTTATTTATTCTTTTTTCTAATGAACTGTTCTTTGTATGGTTATGAAGTTTAAACTATTGAATAGTAAATGGCATAAAATTTGCAACAAAAGTACAACATTAAAATAGTGCATGGAGAAATAGCTAAGTTTGAGAATTGTTCTGATATTTTGGCCACAAGTCATTGTTTAGTAAATGACCCCATATCCATAAATTCAATATACAGGGCATAAGAGATACATAATAGTATATAGACTTGTGCACAAATCCTTTTAACCTGCGATTCACTAATCATAATTGCTGTTAATGGACGCTCTAAGGAATTGATCCTTGACATAAAACCTGGATGGATTGATTTGTTCACTCGTAGATTAATAGGAATTTGATGCAGATACTGTATCTGACTGAAATGTTATAAATTCAGAGTTTCAAAATTCAAAGTAGTTCCGCTAATTTAGCCTAAAATTCTGAATCCACTTTAAATTCTTAACATTACATTCTTCACTGAATATCCCTATAGGGTTAGTGGTGAACAGGTGACCCTAAGAAAGGCAGGCAGGGCTAGCACTACAATAAGACGGCTTAGGCGTGGTTTTGCGAAGGGCCAAGGTAGAGGGTCTTCTTTTTGACAGGGAGCTGCAGTCTGACAGGAATCAGGTGCTCACTGTTCCTGATGGAGGCAGGGAATGAGCAGCAAGCAGCTCCCTGTCAGACCAGAAATAGGGTAAAGAAGATCCACAAGACCACACTACAGACAAGGTAACAGCCACAAAAGGTGAAGAGAAAAGCATGAGATGCAGGAGACACAGGGCCAGCGCTTCCATAAGGCTGCACAAACAGCTGTCTAGGGTTACCGGCCCAGGGGCACAAGATCCATTTCAAGGACACAGTGCACAGTGCTTTTCTCCTGATGGTCACTGCATGTAGCGTGACCGAGCCACAGACAGCGGGAGAGGAGCTTCCGCCTGGTCTGACAGGAAGTGCTCACATACAGCACTGAGCAGCTTCCAGTCAGAACATATAGAGGAAACAGAAGCAACTCTACCACGGTCTGCTGCTCAGTCATGCTACAAGGAGAGAGGTGAGCAGACATTGGGGGGGGGAAATGAAGTACATGGAGGAATGGAATTGCTGGGGGGGGGGGGGGGGGGAAATAAGACACATGCAGGGACACACACAAAGAGACCTAGAGGGGCCGTTGGAGAAAGATACACACAGAGGGATTGGAAAAGGAAGTTACACACAAAAAAGGCTGTGGAGATAAAGAGACATACAGAGGAGCTGGGGGAGAAGAGACCCAAAGGGGTTGGGGAAGGGCAAAAGAGACAAAGAGGGGCTGGGTAGGGACAAAAGACACAGGGGAAAGGGAAAAAGAGACAGACAGGGGGTTGGGGGGGAGAGAAACCCAATGGGGCTGGATAAATCCAAACAGTCAAAGATGGGCTGGAAAAGGAGCAAAGGAGACAGGCAGGGGCTAAATAAAGGGGAAAACGGACATACAGTGGCTGGGGAAGTTGTAAAAGAGACAGACATTGGCTGAGGGGGAGACACCTAGAGGGCACATAGATGTGCTATGGGGACAAAGAGACAACCTGCGGGAAGAAACACTTGGGAAGGGGAGAGAGAGGGATACACAAAATAGGCTGAGGCTAGAGAGACATAGAGTATGTGGGGATAGGGAGAAAGAGATACACAAAAGAGAAGCATACAGAGGGGATGAGAAAAGGTAGAAAGAGACAGAAAGGGTATGGGAAAGGGGAAGAGACACAAAGAGACTGGAAAAGGGGAGAAAGAGACACATAAATGGGCTGAGCTAGAAAGAAAGACACAAAGCGGCTGGGTGGAAAAAGAGAAACACAAAATGGCCGGGAGAGAAAGACACACAAAGGGCCTGAAGGGGAGAAAGAGACACACAAAAGGGCTGGAGGGAAGTAAGAGACATATGGAGGCGGGGGTAAGATGGGGTTTATAAGGTATACTAAAAGGGGGTGTTAGACAAAAGGGGGATAAGATACACTAAAGGGGGTTCATAATAGCAGATAACAAGCACAAAAGGGGATAATAAATTCAAGAGGTGGATTAAGGGACACACAGGTGAAGATGCATTTTTGCAGGGGGGAGTGGGGACTTTTTGCACTAGCACTGAAGAGACACAAGATGGCGGTAAGAGATATAAGATATACCAGTTCTGCTACCTTCTCACCATGTCTATTTGCTGTCTCCCTCAATACCCTTCCTATTGTGTTTTTCTACCCCACCTCCTTTAGACTGTAAGCTTGTTGGAGCAGGGCCGTCAACTCAAAGATTAGCATGTGGTGTTGAATGCCAGTGAGATAGAGTTTGATGGTGTTATATAACATTTTAAGTTTAAGGTGGCAAAATGAAGCAAACCCCAAAAAAGAAGTCATAACAAATGGTTGCATGATGTTATGTTCCAGAAGGAATCTTTTGAATAGTGTGAAATGTTGTATGTTTTGTGTGTATTGTATGAAAGTGCCAATTGGGACAGTGTCCTGCTATGCTGCATGATGGTTTCTAGTCCAGTATGAGTTGTTGAAATGTTGGAGTGATGGTGGCTATGGGCGCAGCTAACGGGAGTGCTTGATAAAACGCCTTGTCAGCAGCTGTGTTACATACACCTGGGACATGGAAACAACATAGGAAAAAATTATGACAAGCTGCCAACCAAGTGAGTTTCCTCAGAAATGTCATGATCGTAAGGGATTTGGAACGACCTTTGTTGATGATGTGACAGGTTGCCTGGTTGTCTGAGTAACAACGCACTGGCATATTACCCCTTAAATGACCCCATGCTATGGCAGCCGCCACGATGGGATAGATCTCAAAAAGGGCTGAGGTAGTGGAGAAACCTTCCAAATCCTGAACTGCTGAAGGCCAGCTGCCCCAATGCCATTCATTCCCAAAAATTGCTGCAAAACCAGTGGTAGATGCTGCATCTGACCAAATGGTAGGAGATGAGTCAGTCAATTGAGGGAGGAACATACTTTTACCGTTCCAAGTGGTTAAAAATCTCTTCCACGTGTTTAGATCTGCCGTAGCTTGGGTATCTAAGGACAACCTGTGCGTGTCATGTAGGAAATGTGGGAAAAGATGCAATAGTCGTGATATAAAGGAGCGGCCTTGAGGTATGAGGCGCATAGCAAAATTTAGTGACCCCAGCAGGGACTGTAGCTCTTTGCGGTTGCAAGTACCGAGCTGAAGGTAGCTGTTTATGTAAGTGAGAATATTCTCTATCTTATCGTGTGGTAGGCTCGCTTGCATTGTGGCGGTTTTGTTGGATACCCAGAAAAGTGATAACCGTGTCTGGCCCCTCTGTTTTCTTTGGGGAGATAGGTACACCTAGTTGCTCAAATAGCTTAGTGGTAGCTTTGAGACTAGTAGGAGGTGAAGTATTCTCCTCGATCAGTAGGAAATCGTCCAGGTAATGTAATACCGTAGGGCATCTGGCTATGTTCAATAGTAACCAACATAATGCTTCGGCAAATGTGTCGTAAATAGCTGGGCTACTTTTGGACCCAAAAGTTAACTAGGAGAAAAAAATAGTAGTTCCCGGACCACTTGATGCCATACAGGTGCCACAGTGTGGGGTGGATTGGTAGTAATTTAAAGGCGTTAGTAATGTCGGTCTTACTGAGCCAGCCTCCAACCCCTGCTTGTATGATAGCGGTAATGGCGTGATCTATAGTGGTGTATTGCAGAGAGAATTCCTCAGAGGGTATGAGGGAATTAAGACTGGGGTTGGCCGATGAGTGGGGTGCCGATAAGTCAATGATGAGTCTCTGTTTTTGGGAAGATTTCCCTGTGACAATACCAATGGGGTTGGTGCACCATTCTATGAATGGAGGAGTTTTGAAAGGTCCCAATACGAAACCCTCATCTACTCCTTGGGCTATGAGGGTGTCATCCACTGTGGGGTTGTGTTGGGCGGATTGTAGATTAGGGCATTCCAGAGTTCCGGCTGGTATGTGTAGGATACCTGTATGCAAGCCTTCTGTTAAACCAGAGATGAGAAAGTCAACTAGGTGTCTAGATGGGTGCTGAGACATAAATGCCGTGAATATTGGCATATGAATGGACGTTAGGTAAGGCTTGGAATACATTTTATTTGGACACATGGTCTTTGCATGTGCCCTAAAACATTTTGAACAGACATGCAATAGTCTACATCCACGGTAATTACAAGACCCAACATTGAAATTATTACATATCTGGGACTTGCCCAGAAACTTGATTGGGCGTCCCAGTTTGTCTCTTGACAACTTCTCTGGAACCCCAGAGGAACTAGCTCCTTGCGTGGAGGCATGTTCGTCCGCCGTGTTGGGACAAAAATTTGTAGTATGGGCTGTGGAGGAGCATTATGCACAAGCTGGTGTTCTTAGACCTGCAAAGTGTCTGCAAAAAATGACGGTATCAATCCTTCCCCGGTTGGATCGTGTCCGTACTGGGAGAAGGCTCCAGACACTTTTGCAGAAAAAGACCTATGGTAGTCATAGAAGGCTCAACCACCATATTTGTTGCCCAGGTCTACCAGCTTGTGCATATAGAGATCAAACTCCTCTCTTCTGTTGGGATAGACCGCACAGATGACATCCCTGTAAATACCAAAAGCTAGTACAAATTCAGGGATAGTCAGTTTCCTGTTCAGGCGGGCATCCCTAGATCTGACAACAACAGATACATCATCATAAGCATACGTCTTATTCTCAGCAATATCCTGGGCGGCAATCAACAGGGAAGCCAGGTTGATTTCTTTACCTTCCAGCATATCCCTTTTTATATGCTCAGGTATCATATGAGCCGGGCTAACTTCCTGGTCATCCAGGGTGATGGCTGGAGCAACTAATGGCAAGTCGGCTGGAATTTGTGAAGCAGCAGTGGATGGCCCTGCTAGAGTAAGGGCCGTGGTGACCGAAACAAGTTTCTCCAGCCTGGAGTTGACCTTGCTCATGGACGCCATGAGTGAGGATAACATGGCATGTATGTCTCCTGGGTTGGACTGGCTATGTCCTTCCCCGGCATCCATGTTATTTGTAAATGTGCGTAGCAGTTTGAAAAGTTCTGCTTTCCTTGCTGTAGCGGGGTAGGGGATTTGTCGTCTCCTCAATTCTGTGGTTATACGTGGGATCGTCCAGGATCTGATCAATGCTGGACTAGCTAGCTCTCCTCCTTGTGTGGGAGTGACAGCTCTAGCCGGGGTGCTAGGCAGGGAGAAATCCTCTACCCCTTCCTGAGACATACGATAAATAAAACAATTAATTAGTATATGAAACCACCAAATTGTACTGGCAGGCTAGCCAGGCCGGATGGCGAAACATTATACTTGTTTGGTGACAGATGAGGCCCTGCTAATTGCCAAGCGGCTTGAGAGGCTCTATCTATGCGTTGGCGCAAGGGGTTATTGAGGCCACTCGTCGTATTGGCAGGAGTTTTAGGCCTCTGGGTGACTGTAAGACAGAAAACTGGGGAAGGGAGTGACAGGTGAGGCCCTCTCTATGCAACATGCGAGGCGGCTAGCTAACGTGTGGCCCGATGGGTGTTTGCCTCTGAAACGTTTGAGGCAGGGTGTTGGCCTCGCGGGACCACTAACTGATGGCGACTGCCAAGACGGGGTAAATACCTATTGGGAAGCCTGTGACCCTATTGCCAGTACTCTAACCTAGGGGAACGGAATGAAATGTATGGTAGAATACCATATGAGCAGGTGTACGTACCTGGTAGTATAACAAATTCACAGGAAAACCATGTGGCGCAAATATATATAAGCTTGACAGCCTGAAATGGGTAAAAGAGAGTAGTATGATGAGTGTGGATTGTTGGAAAGAAAACAGACTTATGGCCTGTAGCAGCTTAAATAAGACATCTGAGGGGGGCCGTGGCCCATGTACCAACAACATATGTGTATATATAATAATGGTGTGTAAAATGTAGGATATATATATATATATATATATATATATATATATATATATTACTGTGCAGGAAACGTATGATTTGTTGGACCAGTACGTGTGATTCAACCCGAGTATGCATGAAAAGGAATTAATGCCTTATGTGTCATGGTCATAACAAAGAAATGAGGCCTGTAACGTAGGCTGAGTTAATTGAAATGAAATGGATAATTTATGAAAAACTCCTGTAAGCGTGGGAGTCCAATGATCCATACAGAAATGTTAGCTGGTTTCATGCCCTTGATGTAATAAGTGATACCTTAAAATAGCAATGAAAATGGTCTGTCTAGTTAAACAAGCAACTATTTAACCGAATGTATATATATGAAATGATGAAATGTAACTCATGAAACAGGCATGAATAGCTTAAAGGTATGCACTTTAATGCGAACAGCAATCTTGCATGAATATAACATGAATAAGTGCCGAACGGAAAACACAACCGAAATAATTGTTAAAATGAAGCAAGGGAAAACAGTTGTGCGAGCTGATCGCTTCTCTAATACGCATGAATTTAACCGAACAATTTGTACGAAATGAAGCCGCGCGAAAGGCTATGTAATACAACTGTGCAGAAAAACCGTAAAGCGACGACCCGTGCTGTACCGTGCGACGTGGGAACCGGTCCTGGCGTGACAGGTAGGCCTGACTTACGGTTTAGGAGTCCCTGGGACGCGATCTGCGACGATGACCGGGGTAAGAAGAAGCTGGACGGACGGAAAAGGCCTGAACAGGATTCCTGGACACAGCTTGCCGCGGTAAAATCTTGTGGATACTGAAAAACCAAGATGGCGTCTGAGAGAACCCGGAAGTGGATCCTCATTCAACTCTGACCTCGAACGGCAAGGAGCAAGGTAAGGGGAGTGCCTTAAGTAGGCTAGGGGTAGCAAACCAGCACCTCCCACAAATCCAGGCAAAATTGCCTATATATATATATATATATATATATATATATATATTTCCATTTCCTTTCTCTCTTTTTACCGTTCCTTTACACCTTCCTTTTCCCCTCTTCTTTCCCTTTTTATTAACTAACCACTACTTCTTTTTTATTGAACATCTAACGTCTAAAAACACTTACAGACTAACTTAAACAAACACTTGCTTGGTTCACAGCAAAAAAAAAATCATCAATATTAGGCTCGAGGGGGGAGAGGGGGAAAGAGGGCTTAAAACTGTTTAGCTAAAAGAAAAAAAAGTAAAGCAAATATCTAGCACAAGAAAGACATGAAGAGATAATTAACTAAACACATAAGAAATGTACTATTCAACTCCCGAATTTGTATCAATACTACTTAGCGGCTCAATTAGCCCAAATAGTGGCTTGGCACGCACCAGACGGCTCACATCGATGGGTCGACCTGGAAACGAAATTAATGAGCACCGATCTCCCACAGTTCTGGATATGGGTGCCCAGACAAGACAGACCCGCCCTTCGGACAACCTGCCCGGCAATCCTGAACTCCATACGAATTTGGGACAACACGGCCACCAAATACGCACTCAAACACACACCCTCACCACTAACCCCATATCTGAGGAATAAAGCATTCGAACCCGGGCTGAGCGCACGAGACTTTAGGGGCATAGAGAGTACTGGAATGCAGAGGTATGGCCATATGTATGAGGGGAATTCCTTCCGAACGTTTGATAGCCTCAAAACCTTAGCGCCCCTGACCACAAAAGATGTATTTCGCCATATCCAATTACGAGACTTCGCCAAAATCCCTGAGGTCAGAAAAGCAGCCCACACCCCCATGACGTTCTACGAACAATTATGTAACGCCGAAACCATACCGAAGGGCTTAATAACCACTATCTATGCACAACTCAGTGCCCCACTTAAAAATGCTAATGACCCACGTTACATTGGCCAATGGGAGACGGACCTGGGGGGTACGCTGGAGGGAGAGGACTGGGTGGACATTTGGGAGGCGACAGCTAAAACCTCAGTCTGCGTGCTGCAACAGGAGCAATCATATAAAATGCTCATGAGATGGTACACTACACCTGTGCAGCTACACAGAATGGGGAAAACCACGACAGACACATGTTGGAAGGGCTGCGGAGGTAGAGGTACCCTCGTGCACATGTGGTGGGAATGCCCAGAACTACACAAATACTGGAAGCGCATCCAGAAACTACTAACTGACGTTTTGAAGAAAAGTATAGACATAGACCCATGGTCGGTCCTACTGTCCAAACCCATAGACGGTCTCCCTAGAAAGGAACAACAGCTTTATAATAAAATCACACTAGCGGCCAGAAGGGCTCTAGCCCAG